AATAGATTGTAGAGTTGGCCTTTGAATTAATAACAATACTACACCAAGCAACTATATGTCAAACACTTTCATAGTTTCTAGCCAATCTTAATAACAACTGTAAGAACTATTATTTGTCTCCATATTACCCATGAGAAAACTGAGGTTCAGGGGAGGGAATTTATCCAATGTCACAGCTGGTCACTTATCAGTGGAATGTGAACCGTAGCTCTAACTCCCTATCTAGTCTGTCTCTTACCAGAGATGCCACTCATTTATGCAACGTATTTAGGCTGGAGGCCCATTTGTCAGGCACTCTCCTGGGAACGGAGGCTAAAGAAGAGACGTGGACCATGCCCCAAAGCTTAGAATCTAGATAATCAACCAAATGGTCACAAATAAATGTATAGATCAAATAATTCTGAACTATAAAAATAATGTCTAATGACCCCAATGAATTTGAATAAACTATTTTAGCTTAGACCAAAAGTAGTAGAGTATATAACATGAAAATAAGTTAGCTTTCTTTCAAATTTGCTTTAAAGATATGTTCAAGAATTTGTATCCTCCTCTATCAGAAACTACTCAGCACAGATGATTACCAGTGTGGGAGGAGATTTATGACCACGCTCAGTAGAAACTATTCTGTTTCCTATGTCATTCTGATACTGTAGAGTACAACAGGAGGGGGCAATGAGCTAACATGAAACTAACTAGCACACAGACCCTACACAACTTCACTAACCAAGAGAGTAACTTTCCATGTGCTGTTCCTGCATCTCTATCACCACCAGACAAGCAGCGTACAAACCCGAAACAGAGAAGATGACTGGCCGGCAAATAACATTCCCAAAATATTTTTTCCAAGACAGGAACATATAGAACAAACACACATCACCCAAGATATAGCTCTAGTGACTTTACTGGATTTGAAACATAGACATTGGACTCTTAACAACAAAGTTCCCAGAGATCACCACAGTACTATTAAGTCCTCACCATCTAAACAGGTAGCTGCACTCAAGCTCCACAAGCACACATTTGTATGATGAGGCCAGACAGGGCCAGCCATCAAGCGGAAGAACCTGACGTGATTCAGATATAAGCAGAGCTTCTTGTTCACATTTTATTTGCTAAATGTAAAATAAAATAAAAAAGTTTGAGAAGAAAGAAAGATCCTAGAACGGAAAGGTAGTTCCACAACTGTTTCCCCAATAGGCAGTCTCCTAATTCAAGTAATGGGTTTTCTAAAATAAACCCGAACCTTTAGTCCTGTCAGGATCCCACATGTGAATGACCAGCAAGTACTCAGTGCCCAGCTTCTCTACAGGAAGGACAACTGTAGACTCAGAGAGTAAATGTGCCTCCACGTAGAATGAATAGGACACATTCCAAAAGCACCACTCCCTGATTTGGGGAAAGTGGGTATCTGCTTCAAACTCCCAACTGCAATGTTCAAATAAATATACTCATAATAGAAAAAATAAATAAGTAAATAAAATCATAATAGGAAGCCAGCTCTCACATGAATAAAAAGGGATTAAGAAACAGTAATAAATGTGCTAACCCTATATTACTCCTGAATAATCCACGTGCTTAATCGCAACCCTAAAATTTCACCTGCGAGGAGCCAGATTACACGTCAGCCATACTCTCAGTGTCTAGAATGCACAATTAGCTTTCCCAAAACTTCCCATCAAAATCCAGGGCCCCCTCTTGTGACTTTTTCTCCCTGTGCCATCCTGTGAGTTTTTCCGTTGCACGTTCATCTGTAGTTGGCTTTTCTTCCTCCCCACAAATGCACAAAACTTAAGCGCCACTTCAGTTTTCCCCCAACCTTCTCAGAAGAAAGAGGAACAACTGATACAATTTAAACACCTCACTTAGCATGTACGGGGTTAAGACTTCCACTTCGGTAAGCTCCCTATGACCACAGTGACAGCCATCTTTCTGAGCCTCATCTGCAAACAGGACACACACACAAAATGGAATTTCTGCTCCCAGGAAAGACCAGTGTCCATCCCCTTCACGCTGTGAGTACAAAACCTGCCTGTCAATGCCTCCACTTCGACAGGCATCAGCTCCTCCCCTACTCCCCTCCTACAGAATTCGCAGGTCACACAACAACACACACACACACAAGTGCAGTCCTCGGCCCAAACCAAATAAGTAAACAAAATACCTGGGACCTCACTGCTAACACACTTGTCACGGCATACAATTTTTTTTAATTGCCAAGAAATTTTCCATAAGCTCCAAAAGAAAGAAGGGATTGCTTCCTTTTGAAGCACTGGACAGTAAAAAGTGGTGTGACATAACTTTTCATTTCTTTAAAAAATCCATTTTAAGGTATACTGTCGCAACCATAATGCGCAACTGTCCCCTGCATACGTCACCCCATGTGCACTATTTCATTTTCAGACGTCACAAAGGATGACAAGAATTATAATTTGCCCCGGCAAACAGGCTCTCAATCAAAACAGGTTCCACCCACCTTCAAAGCAACCAATAGCTGCCCACCTCCCCCTTCCTGCAGCATCGAACGGAGCTGCTGGGCCCAGGCGCTCCCAGCAGCCGCCTGCAGGTCGGCTCTGCAGGTGCTGAAGGCAGGCCAGCTCAGCACAGGCACCAGCAAGATTCCAGTTAAACCACACGCACAGGGAGAGCCAGAGAAAGGGAAGAGGACGGGACAGAGGGACCCACAAGGTTCCCCGTCTGCTTTAATGCATCTCCGGGAAGACCCCATCCTCAGCTCTGATTTCACGCCTGGCAACGCCACCTACACGGCCAGCCGGGGCTGAATTAAAGGCTCTCAGGAGCATGCACTATGAATGATGAAATGATTCATAAACATCTTCAAAGTGAGAAACAGCATCAAAAGCCATCACTGGCTCAGTGAGGCCGGAGATCAGCCTACCTGCAGGGGCTGAATGGACCATCCATGACTACCAGGCTCTGGTGAGTTAGCTGCCTCCCTGCACCTCTCTCCCTGCTAAAACTCTGCCTTTCCTACTCTCACAACTCAAAATGGAGGCACATGCGGTCTGAGAGACCTCACAGCGCTCTCACTGAGCGTGTGCTATGACCTAAGCCTCCACGCAGAACGCAGAAACTTCCCCTCACTGACAGCACTGAGCATGTGCTGTGACCCTCCCTCATCCATGCACTGCTTCTCAGCGCCATCAATCTCAACCCTGCTGTTTCCGTAAATAAAGCCCAGCCAACAGCCTCTGCTTCTCCCGCACGCCAAGCTAGTGTGCAGGGAAGTGGGGCCTTCCTAAGGGGATGCGAGACAGCCAACACGGGGCTCAGCGAGCAGTGCCACCGAGAGGCTTCTGGAAAACGCCTTGCTCTGTAAGACAGCAGCAAGTTTTAGCTTTAAAAAATAATAACCAATTGTGGTTTTAAATAGCAAGATCTTCAAGAAGAATAAAATAAAAATATACACTATGAAATACTACACAAGATTAGTTAACAGAAACACTGCAGCACATTTTAAAACATTAACAAATAAACCACCATAGCAGCAGCTACTTAAGAAGAGCAACCCCACAATTTTCTTTCTGAAAACTTCAGACGTTTAGGAAAGGGGCACAGGAAGAATCCTGGCAAAGCTATGAGGTGCTGGGCACTGCACAGCCACTAACACAATGCAGAGGGGAGATGTTCAGGGAGCAGAGGATCTAAACAACTTTTTTCTATGCAGAGAGCTTCAGCCCTTTAGATAAGAAGTCTAAAATCTCCCCAAAACAAATGAAAGCATTTCCTACAGCCATACCCAGTCAGGACGGTCTAATGGAAGAACGTATTCTAATAGGAAGGGTGTCCCCCTTTTGCCCCTCACCCACACTTTAAAACAAGGATCTGAAAGACTGCCAGTGACACATCAGAAAATGAGCAAGAACTTGTGAGTCCCTCGCTGACACAGTAACTTATAGGCCTCTTTTTAATATGCCTTCATCAAAAGCAGATGCATAACCAAAACGAGTTACACATAATCTGATTGGTGTGATAAACCTAAAAGTTAAACATTTCAAACACAAAAGCGACTTAGTCAATTCACTAATGTATACGTTTGTGCAATATGACAACTATTTATCAAATAGTTACATAAATATGACATCATTAAAATAACAGATCCCTTTGTGTCTAGACAGAAATCCAAGTTCAACTGTTGCATACTTCCTCTGGGCAACAGGAAGACACAAATGACAAGACAGCCAATAAATGCAAATGTAAAATAAGCATTTCAAAATATAAGATGCTTTTGCAATATTACCATTGGTCAGCTTCTTTGTCAGTGGAACAGGGCAAACTTCAAACGAGAAAATAAAAGCTAAAATGCACTGTTTCTAAAGAAAGAAGGTAAATAAAAAAGGTGGCCCTTATACTATGACCATTATAGCAGTTCTCTGTATACCTAAAGAGAGCCTCACACAGCCTCTTTCAACCACGACAACAAATATGGTCCGTCTTACTGACCTTATGTTGACTGTCTTAACATATAATTTCTCAGCATCCTCCAGGAAAACGTTTTCCCTAAAACAATTATCCATCTTGCTACTACACTTAATGAAGTACTTCTACTAACCTCCTTGAGCTAAGTATCTTTTTATTTCTTTCTAAATCCTTTTGTAGAACTTTCCATGAGGTTCTAGTGTTTTCAATATGGTATCATGGAAGGTGTGACAGAAAATACATTAGGGTAATAATCTGCCAACTCATAATAAATTCAAAGCAGATAAACTAAACGTGTCTTTTCTCTCTCTAAACCCAAATTTTCTCACGTTTCCTTTTTTTTTTTTGATAGAAAGACACTAAAGCTGCTTTAGACACCGAAGACATTCATTACAACTCCATCCAAAGAGGTTTACTACAGGATTTGGAAGTTTTGTTTTTTAACCTTCTTAGTGTTTACCCATATGTGTACACACACACACACACACACACACACACACACACACACACACCAGTGAGAAGAGCAGAAGTTCTCAATGAGTGGGCCCGAGTGACTCACTTACCTTGTCTCGGGGTTATAGCCTAATATGTAGAAAAATGAATCCACCCGGGCTTTAAACTCTCTAGCAGCAAATATGTCAGAAAAATGGGAGATGTTACACTTCCCTCTGAAAATAAACAAACAAAAATACATTAGTAATACCCTCAATTGCTTTGTAAACCAAAATACTATTGGAGGGATAGGGGTGGGGGGAGGTATTAACTAATCCCATATTACTCTAAGAACATGTAGAATGTAGCCACAAACTCTGTAATTATCTATTCAAACAACTGGGCGTTCCCAAAAGAAGAAAACGCCCAGTATAATATATTTTTGTTTCATGTCTGCTTCAACTTACAACTTAATTGCTGTTATCTCAGCATTTTAGTCATACGGTAAAATTAAACTACAAAGTTAAATTGTGGGAAGAACTGTGATGAAGTTTACTAAACTGGAAATGACGGGGGAACATAAAACTACAGTCAGATGACGAAATGGCTCTCTAAAGCGCTTCTCCTTCATCAAAGAAAAACGGCCCTTCCTCCCGCTGCCCGATGGCAGAACGTGTAACTGTCAAATAGACGCTTCTTGTTTAACATACAAGAAATAAACTGACTTGAAAATTAAAACAGAACTATTTTAACTTTTAACATATATGGATGCATTGTAATATACAGACAAAACCTCCCCAAAATGTTAACATTAAAGGACGTAAGTTGAAAACACATCCCATAAAAATACTGTGATGAGGAGTAAGATTTCCAGGTCCATCTGCCAACAAAACGTAAACCACAACAGAGCTGGGAACTCTCCGGGACTGCAGGACTCCTTAAGCCTTGTCTCATGCACCAAATGTCAATGTCAGGAGCATTATACCGTGCAGTAGGGCCCACCTTCCCACTACACACACACATGTGGACACACATGCACACATACATGTTGAAATAATTTCCTAGAAGCTAGAAAGTAGCGAGGTTTATCTAGACAGCAGAGAGGTTTTAAGAACTGCAACTCCCTCAGTGGTTACAGAAGGCACCTTTACCAAGTGGAAGCTACAAGTTATGGTTCCAGTAGGTGAAATGGGAAGGCCAAAAGCACATCAAGAGTGCGCCAGGATGCTGCCAGTGACATGACATGACCTCCTTCCCACAGCTTCAACAGCATTCCACTCCCAGGGGAATCCGGGAGTTACTGGTTTACACACACACACACACACACACACACACACACACACACCCCAGCTAATGGCCACGGTGTCAGTGAAAGAAACTGGCTGAGGGATACCCACGTAGGAATGGACATTCATTCACTTCCCACCAACAAAAAAGTAATGTCCCCCTTTCCCACAGGACTTAACTGTGACCAAAGCCTCCGTGATGGGCAGAAGCTAAGATGGGCTCTGACAATTTCCATTTTTAAAATGAAATAAAACAATCTACTGATTTACTAAAGTTCCCTTGTGAACTACTGATTAGAAGAAAATGGAGGGCTATTGAGCGCTTGAAATGTGGATAATTGAAGAGAAATTAATTTTTAATTTTATCTCATCTTAATTAATATCTATATATATGCCTAAGCGGCCATTATGACAGAATGACCAGAACGACCAGAAAGACCAGTCGCTATGATGCGCATTGACCATCAACACAGGAGCTGCCCCCTGGTGGTCAGTGCACTCTTACAGCCAGCCCCCCTCGGCCCTGGTGCTAAACCATGGTAGAGACCTGCTCCTGGGTGAGGTTTCGTATGCAGCAGGGCAGCTCCCTCGCTGCGATCTACTGGAAGTCAGCCCTCCACACGAGGCTTGTCTTGCTCCCATCCTCCCCTTCCCCCGGGGGTTGCCCGCCCGATGCAGTGGCAGCGCAGTGTGGCAGTGAGGGAAGAGCTGTGTGGTGGCCACACTGGCCGTGGCACTGGCGTCCAGCATCTGTTCCTCCCATGCCCGGCCGGTGACTGCCACCTCCTCTCCCGACCCGCCAGGGCCTTGGGTCCCAGGCTGGGACAGGGAGCCAGGGATGAATGGCAGCGGAAGCAGCCCCTTTCCCAAGGGGGGCAAGGGCCAGCTCCCTCCTTGGGGCTGGTAGCCAACCCCCGACCCTGCTCCTCCTCCCGGCCCCCACACAATTTGTGCACCGGGCCTCTACTGTGTGTGTGTGTGTGTGTGTGTGTGTGTGTATGTGTATTTAAATAGCTACATGTGGCTAATGGCCACCACACTGAACAGCACATATTGATATATTTCTATCATTGCAAAAAGTTCTATTAGAAGCACGAATTTGCAGCTACAAGATACAACTAAAGACTAGGTATCAACTCTTCAGGCCCACGGCCATAACTCCAGATTTATCTGGAATTAAGGCAAGAGGGTAAGATCAGTTTTACAGATGAAGAGCGCACACTCTCAGCAACTTACTGCCCGCCTGTCTGAAGCGACTTAGTCCCTGAAGCCAAGAAGAACAGGTAAGTCCCTTCAGTCACACAGGGATAACGATGCCTGCTCCCAATTATAAAAGCACTGAGATCAAATAAGAAGTCCATGAAGACGTCTACTGTTCAGTGCTATGTAAAGTAAGTTATTTTCGCCATAATTGTTCATTACACAAGGAAAATAATTCATCTTTTTAAAAAAATATATATTTTATTGATTTTTTACAGAGAGGAAGGTAGAGGGATAGAGAGTTAGAAACATCGATGAGAAAGAGACATCGATCAGCTGCCTCTTGTACACCCCCTACCAGGGATGTGCCCGCAACCAAGGTGCATGCCCTTGCCCGGAATCGAACCTGGGACCCTTCAGTCCACAGGCCAACGCTCTATCCAATGAGCCAAATTGGACTTGGCAGTAATTCTTCTTTTATTATTCTTTGTTACTTCTCAAATTTAAGGTGACTCTTAAGCTTGAGTAATTAATGTATTAACTAGAAATATAAAAATCCTACCACCCCCCAATTCTAACCACAGGCATTAGAAATCAAACCCGTTTAAGGGGGGGTTTCTCAGTCTCGCATTCTGACACTGTGTTGTCAGGAGCTCTGGTAGTTAGCAGCATTCCTGGCCTCTGCCCCCCAGCACCCCACAAACATCACTGTGACAAGCAAAACCATCTCCCAAGAATGCCAAATGTCCCCCAGGGAGAGCAACCCAAGGGGGTTAGGGAAGGACAAAAGCAGTAGAAATAGAAGGATATTATCTGATAAATGACAACAAAGCTGGAATAAACAGGACTTTAATCTACCATTACTATATATCCTCTACTTGCTTCCCATTTAATTACATGTATAGCCTGTTAATCAACTGAATTCTTTAGTATTTGATATCATTTAATCATTGATTCGCTGAGATTTTCCAGATATGCTATCTGATTTGTAAATAAACGTATTTTACTTCTTCCTTACCGTTTGTTAAGCCTCTAACACAACATGGGAAGCAGTGGGCATGGGAGGCAGCCTTGCCTGGCTCCTGGGTCCTGTGGAAATGTTTCCTGGATGTTCCCATTGATATGATACTCACTTTAGAAATGACCATAATCTTAGCCTTTAGAGATTCATTTTTCCCTTAGCTTTATTAACATGAGAAGTGCTATTAACAGTCTCAATAGTAATCTATTCTGCATCCTGAAATAAATTCCAGTTGGTCACAATGTATTTTTAATGAGATATTAGAATTTAAAAAAAAATTTTTAATTACTTGGATCTAGTATTTTTTTTTTCATTAACTTCAGCTTTTATTTTTATTACTCCTGTCTTTGTACTTTTTTTTTTTTTAATGGCAGCACTATTTATACTAGCTTAGGAATAGCCCCAATGCCCACCATCAAGGAAACTGGCAAACAAATCATTATGTATTTGTACAATGAAATACTACACAACAATACAAAAGAAAGAGCTAGTGATACATAGCACAACATGGAAAATTCTCAAAAATTAAATACTAAGCAAAAGAAGTCACGCATGATAGAGCATCAGCCTGAAGACTGAAGGGTCATGAGTTTGATTCCAGTCAAGAGCACATGCAGGGGTTGCAGGCTTGATCCGCAGTGGGGGGTGTACAGGGGGCAGCCAATCAATGATTTTCTCTCATCATTCATGTTTCTATCTCTTCCTTCCTCTCTGAAATAAAAAAGTATTTTTAAAAAGAAGCCAGGCACACACAAAAGTACAAACTGCATGATTCCACTTACATGAAGTTGTGGAACGGACAAAAATAATCTACGGTGAGAGAAGCAGTAGAGTCGTCGGCTTTGGGGCGGGAGGTTTTGAGTGGAAAGTAGCTAAGGGAACTTTCTCACATTGCGGGGCTAGTCCATGCCTTGCTTAGGGTCGAATAAATTTACTGAAATTTCTGAAGATGTAAATTTAAAATCTGCATTTTGCTGTATACTTTTTAAGTATTAGGGAAAAATAAAGCAGTGACAGGCATTAGCATGCAGCGGTGGCTGTTTAAAGTTGCCACATTTGCTGGCCAATGAGCCTCCGGCACGGAGCCCTGAGGACAGAGCAGAGCTGAGGCAGGGCTGAAGGAGCAGTAAGGCCACTGTGGACGGTCTGCCTGGGTGGCATCCATTCAGAGTGGGGCAAAGGAGGCTACAGTTGTTAGCATGGAAAACAACAGCATAACTCATAAATAACTCAGAAGGACCTCTGCTTCATCTGCTCCCAACTGTGACGCTTCCCTTGCCCACCCTGCATTTTCACGCACCTCTTGCTGGAGAGGAGAGCTTCCATCGAAAAATGCGTGCATGTGTGTACATTTGAAGCACCCCCCCCCCCAATTCCCTTTTCATCGTGCTCTCAGTACACCATGTGACATGTGCGTGGAAGGCAGGAGGAGAGACTGGTCAGAGAAAATCGCCATCATTGCCACCTTGCTGAAACAGCTGATTTTGGGGTCCCCTAAAGTCCTGTCACCCTATTCCTAAAGTGATACCTCACTGTTATCAGAAACGTGCCACAGGCAGGAAAGCCCCACGCCCTGAGGTCACTCGGGCCCTGAAAAGACAGCCTGGGAGCTGCTCAGTGCGGTGGGTGCCGGTGCCGGCACAGCTGGGCCGGCACAGCTGGGAAGTGCAGCATTGATGAGCCCCTGGCTAGTGGGAGGTGCCCTCTGAAGGGGATGGAGGAGAGGGAG